TGGGGGGATTGTCATGATCCCTTTCTATGTCTGCTTTGTAGGGATTTATTCTTGTTGTCATCTAGAAATCATGTTTGGGAGGGATCTTGGAACTTGAGTTCAAAGGAATATGCCCGTAAATGTGAATTGTGGGGGGGTGCAAGGTTCTGGGTCCTATGTTGGATTAGTCAGTTTATCCTTGGTTCCTGTCGGTAATGGGGAAATTACCTGACTCCGCAGGGGAGTGCCAGGTTAAGTGACGTGCCTGAAGCCAGCTGGGACTACTAGGACAGAGTAAATAATTGAAGCTGGACCCGCTGTTGTCTTTACAAAGCCAAACTTCTCTTTGAAAGCCTCTGGATTCCCCTGTTAGGAGTGGCTGGAGTATCTTGAAATGAAGCTCACACTCAGCTAGGCTAGAGCAGTCACCAAGAAGAGATGAAGGGGTGAACAGCACCTTGTGATGAGCGTGTTCTCTCTGCAGCAGTCAAAAACCAGTATCTTCCCTACTTCTGCCAGATGTAATAAGTAAATAAAGAAAACTACCCCCTCTTACAACTGCAATCACTGCAGCTTTCTAGCTCCTATTATCCCAACTACGTAAAGCCTTTGGAGAGGGGCTGCTGGATCAGACAGGCTGTGTCACGTCAGGTTGTGCTGAAATCCTTATTCCTAGAATGATTCCCGAGAACGGCGCCGATGGCTCACGCTAAAGGTTTGCCTCACTGCATAGCTGGCTTCTGACAGTGGCCAGCGGCTGTAGTCTTAGGAAAGGCGCTGCAGAAATTAGGGCAGTGCCATCTGATCTTTCCCTGCATTGTATCGTTGCCCTGATTTATAGTAAGGCTGTGGCTGTGCAGCTTTCCCCCGTTCTTCATGTGGAGCAGTTCATCCGAGGTGAACGGAGCAGTGCCAGGAGGAGTCCCACAGCCCCTGCTTCGCAGGGTAGCATCTCGGATCAAAGGAATAAAACTTTCTGCTTTAAGAAACCCTAGCCCTCTGGTCTCCTGAGAAGTTGAGCAGCCACTGGAATTCATCTTGGGAGTTTTACTGAAAAAGTACTCGGTCTCTCTTTTCGTCTCGGTGTCTGTAGGATTCTTTCTGGTGGGTGAGACTGGGGTTTTTTTAGCCCTTCCCATGTTGAAAGCATTCAAGTGTAGTAACTCCACCACACTCCTTTAGGAAAGACAAATATTATTACATGGTGGGAAAAGCAAAGCAGAGAGATTGTGACTTGAAGGGCTCTGAATCACGACTGGCATGGAAGAAGCTCTCGGCCCTGTTCCGAGTCTCTGGCCCTAAGTGTTTTCTTATTTTTACAGAGCCTGTTTGTCTGGCACCGATACGTTTTTAAGGGCTGAATACAGACACTTCCGTTGCTTTTCAGTTTTGGACTGTGTAGAAAGCTTTTGCCTTTTATGTACACCACTGCCGTCCCACGGTCTGTCCAGCAGACTCCGTACAGAACCACAAGATGAAAAACGGCCCCGAGTAAGTCAGTATTTAATGTGGAGGCTGAAGCAGCTATTGTCAAAGAAACAGAATGCCTAAATGGGGAAGGGAATGTCACTGTCACACCTCTAAGGGCTGTCTTCGCTAATGGGAAAAGTGTGCTTTTAGATGTGTTAGCTCATCCTTTAAATATCCCTCTGTAAACAAGGAGAGTTTTATTTTTAGCATAATCGCTGGTCGAAGTGAATCCTGGATCCTCGGTTCCCTCCCCGTCCTCCTCGTTAGGATTCACCAGAGGTGTTTTTAGTAGATGAGTTGCGGTCTGTGTTACTTCTTTTCTTTTCTCCCCCTCACCACCCCGTGTAGCACAGACATACTGTAAGTTGACCTTGCTAACCTTAATTTTCTCCTCCCCTGTATATCTGGACAATGTCTCTTTTAGCATACTGATTGGAGCAGATATATCACAACCTTGCTGCAAGGTGACAGAGCTGTGACCCTGCAGACCACCAATAGTGCTGGTGTGCTGCTTGATGCTGAAAAGCACAAGGGGTTAAATTTGGGGGAGGTGGTGTGGCAGGTTTGTCAGTGCGGTTCCTCACCACTTGCTTTCGGCCGTGTGCCCAAGCAGGTCAGCCAAAGCCCAGCTCGTGCTGTCCTGTGACCTGTGCGAGAGCCTGCAGGGGTGTCCTTCCCAGTGAAGTCAGCTCTGGGTCATTTCGGTCTCAGCCACTCCAAGTGCCTGGACACCCCCAAAGTGCCAAAGGGGATTGAAAGACAAGATACAGAAAAAAGTGAATCTGAAATTCCTTATTTACTTCTGCCTTTCATTCTTGTAGGATGTATTGGATCACGTGCTTTTCTTTGCGAAGACGTCCAATTCTTTCATTTCTCCAAACTTTAAATGCTTTTGTGTTAAGATGACCCTAGATCCTAGGGGTTTCGTGGGGGGCAGGGGAGCCAATGATCCTGAAAGCAGGCATCGTATTCTGGGACGTGCAGTCTGCTGCACTGGGACTGGCTTTGCTCTTCCCTGCCTAAAGATCCCCTACAAGCAGCCTTTAGCTGAGCAATATGTGGACATTTAAATCCTCTCAGCCTGATGCATATCGCTGTTGTGCTGTGGCTGTAGCGGGCTCTCAGACCCCTGTGAATGAATGATGCAACTCGTATCCCTTCTTGCCTCCGTGTGCTCTGAGTCACCGGGAAATCCTGTCACTCTCTGCGCTCGCTCGAGCGGGAACACGAAGTCTAATCATTGCTGTCAGACCCGGATACTGCAGTCCCTGAAGACAGGGCTCTCTGAAGCCAGTCCGTGGGTACATCTGAGCCCGTCTGTGCCCATACGTTCCAGGAAGGCTATTCCCAGCTCTGGCGTGGGCTCTGTGTGCGTTTCCCTGACCTCTTACCAATGCAGTTGCTTTCTCACAGGCAGGGCAGGATACAGGGTGGCAGTGAGCCACTAAGACCCTTTCAAGTGTCCAAATACTCCTTCCTCCTCCCATGGTTTTATTTCTCAGTGTGCAGTTTATTGTGCTCTTGCTGGGAGGCAGGGTGTGAGGCTGCGGGAACGTGCCTTTGCTCCAGGCTGATGAGATGTGAGCAGCTCTGGTGCGTGGTCCTGCCTCAAGCCAGAGAGCAAAGGCAGGCACTGCCGATCCTGTGCAACCATCTCATGTTGGAAGTGAGGTCGTGAATACATGGTGTGCTGGTGCCTGCGTCCTTTGTGTGCATGTGTGTGCTCAGGGTACACGCAGCTGGGTACCGGTCTGTAGCTGGGAGGTAACCCTGCTTCAGAGTAGGAGTGTGTTGTGGTTTTCCCTGTGATGCTCAGCATGTGTTGAGGGTCTTAAGGCACTGAGTGCTCTTGCTGGGCAGTAACCAAGCCATCCGACTACTGGTATTTCTGCCTCCCACCTTTATCCATCGTCTTCCCTGCTCTGTCCTGAAGGACCCCGTGCGGCTCAGCCCCATGAGGACAGGCTTGTGGCCGGAGACTCCACCAGCAATCTTCTGGAGACGTTGGTGACCTGACGGAGGTGCTGCTGAGCCCCCTCGTATCTCTGGGGGTTTGGTTGAGGCTGAAGTACCTACATGAAATGCTCTGGGCTTTAAACTGTGAGTGCAGAGACAGCCCATAACCTGCATCCGAGCTGAATGTTTTGGGGAGCAGCTGTTTGGCTCTGGTCGAGGCAGTGGGGTCCTGTGAAAATGAGCTGCAGGATGTGGCAAAGAGCCTTTGCCACGAGGGCAGAGCCCAGCCTGGAAAGCATCCCGCAGGGAAAAGCCTCCAGCTCAAGAAGAAAGGTTGAGATCAGCTCCTCCCCGAGCTGCTCGGTGACCGGTTGGCTCCGAGGGCTGCGGACAAGCTGGTGTGGAGGGCAGTGAGGAGTGGCTCGGTGCAAGGGAGATGAGGAGGGAGGGAGGGCATCCAGCACGTGGGGACTGTCATTCTTTGCGTGACATTTGCCCGTCTCTATAACAAGCAACAGGCTCTGGGGAGCGGGGAGTGAGCAGGGCACGAAAATAGTAAGTGATTTGGAAGAGCAGTAAAGGTTTTAGCCATTATTTTCTCTGAAGCAGGTGAAACTTGGCCAGTCAGCAGCTTTGTGGCTTTAGACAAGCCCTACTTCACGCTGTCCCTCGCCTGGTAGGAGTGCCATGCTGAACAGGCTGAATTAGTGGCAGAAGTGGGTGATACAGAGGAGGGTGATGGGAGAACAGGGCAAAAAGAGTAGGAAATTAGGCTTTGTTAGTTGCCTTAACGACAGAGCAAGTTGTAGGTGGTGGGAGCTTCTGGTCAAGCAAAGTGCTGCATGAGGAAGGCAGTGCAATCAAGTGTAAGAGCAGCCACAGCAAATTTGAGCCGTTGCTGGGCTCTGTGCAGCCCTCTCTTCCATCACTGCGGTCTGCGGCCCTGGTGAGCACCTCTGAAAGCCTGCACGACCGTCCTCGGCACCACTGGTCGAGCGGGTCAAACAGAGGATGAGGGTTTCCTTAGATCCGGCTTCTCTTCCCGTCTGCGCCGCTGACCTGCAGGCGTTGTTTGTCTCATAGCTTGCCGAATGGGTCAGGACAGGGACGTCTCTTCCTTTATGCAGTGGGCAGCGTGGTGTGGCCTCGATAGCCTTTTAGGTGCTATTGTTATACAAATAACTATATAGCAGCTCTGGAAGTTTGTCCTGACATTTCTATGATGTTTTCATGCAACAGCATCATTAAATTGGATCGACTTAACAGGGATTGTAGCCAAGCACTTTGACGCTAATGGTTGCAGTAACCACTTTTATTTCTATGCCCTCAGAAGTTGTACTTTCCAATGCAGCAGGGCAGTTCCTTGTCCCAAGGAGTGTGTGCACCACTCAAACCACCTGTGCCCAAATAGAAAGACAGAATAGAGAAGTGCGTGGCTGCAGAGCCTTGCTTTTGAAACGTTTCTATTTTAGGAAGAGACTCTTTGTGTTTGCTTAAGTTTTAACAAAAAGCAAATGCCAATGTGTTGTAATTTTTTCTGCATTTTAAGTGTTTCACTGAAAACTGATGTTTCTCCTCTTGTCCGTTTCCCTTAGTGCTCCTCACAGCAGTGAACTGTTACAGCGTGAAAGCTGCTACTCGTGTTCAGGATGCCTTTGCTGCGGCAAAACTGCTGGCACTGGCTCTGATCATCATTCTTGGCTTCGTGCAGCTTGCAAAGGGTGAGTACGTTTCCTTTTTCTTCTGCAGGTGCTGTGCAGTTAGAGCGGAATCTGGGAATTAGGGACAAAGCCCAGGGGTCCTAACCCAAACATCTCAGAGCTAGCAGAAATGCTTTTGTACTCTCGCATGCTTGGGTGATATTTCCGGCTCGCGCTTTGCAAAGGGCTGAGTGCTCTCGTGCATTTTATTTGCGAGATTTCCTATGTACCTTGCTGAAGTTATGCTGGATTTCGTGCTACTGGAACCCAGCATATACCACCCAAGGTCTTTTCCATTTAATTCAGTCACTGTGCAGCCTCTCCCTTTGAGATTGCAGAGCTGCCCAGTCTACACGGATTGAAAATTTTGGTGCTGTGACTCTCAAAATCTTTTCTGTAACTGGTGGCTGGTCGCGGCCATTTGTTAGTAGAGAAGTATCTGTGCAAACCGAACCCCAGTAATTTTCATTCTTTCACAAACTGCCCCTGTACGTTCCCCTTCTTCCCGCTTCAGGTGTGGAATAGCTTGATTGAGTCCATGGGGTCACACAGGGACGCCTGGGTCAGGCAAGGCTGCAGAAACCGCATGATGAACAGTGGTATCAGGGCTCTCAGCTGGCACTAGCATGCATGTCTGTCAACTAGCATCTAAAAAAGAAGATAAAAGTGGGAAGATAAATTTTCTGGTGTTTTTGCTTGTTTTCTTCATGCACACTTAAAATCCTCTCAAACTTAGGGAGATATTTTTTCCCAAACCCATCTGATTAACTAACCCACACAGATAAGCTTTACTGTGTGCTTTTTTGTGCGAGTTTTGTGCAACTAAATTTTTCTTAGGGAACAGTACATGCCCTGTTTGTTAAATGTGGATAAAAATCTATAGATAGTCCCGCCTGTCTCTGAACTGGGAAGTGTGTGTGTGTGTACGTTTGTGTGTGCACGTGGGTCTTTATAATTCCTGTCTCAGCAATGGGAGCCAGTGCTGTCTTTGCAGAATTTCTTGCTTTATCAGAGGTTTTATTTTCTTCCACCTCAGCGCCTGCGCTCAACAGGAACATTGTTTGAGGCTTATCACAAAATATACGTCCTTTCTCTTCATAACTCCCTAGGCTGCTTTGCTGAACTTTTTTTTTCTCTCTTAGAAGGAAAAAGATAAGCAAACATAGATCTCTGACAGTTCTTTAACATTTTATCAATAAAAGGTCTTCACAATTGTTTTCTGCTTGCAGGTAATAATCTTAATTTGCTTCTTCAGAATCGCCTTCCCTCCCTCTGTACTGTTCTTCTGTTCTTTTGTTGAGGGTGAATCACTTTCTGCCCTGGTTCCTCAGGTATAAATACATGATATTTCCATTGACTTACATCTGTAACCAATAAGAGATTTCAGTCTCGTGTACAAAAAACTCCATCCTATACTCTTCTGTCTCAGAAGCTTTTTACCTCCTGTGAAGCCTATTACAGTTTCAAGTTTTTGGTAGGTCTGGAGAGGTACAGCTACGACTTGCGTGCATCTCGCAGTACAGCTCATTTCATGTGACATTTAGTTTCCTGCTAAACCACCTGGCCGCTTCAGACAGAGTGAAAGGTAACAAGATCAGAAGCAATAGTTAGATGACGACATCTGAAGGCAAAGACCTTTTCTTCCTGTCTGTGCACACAACACTCGGCATAAAGCAAGCTGGTTCAGGGTGGGAACCTTGGCATCTACAGAGGATGCTCCTCACAAAGCCCGCGTTTACACCTTGTCCTAAGTGGCACATTAAGTGGCTTGTCCGAGTTCCTATTTTACTACATGCTGCCTGGGCTTCTGCCTGTGGTCTAACATGGATTTTATTAATCTCCTTATGGAAGTTGCAAGCTCTCTGGTAAGTCCTTAAGAATGTGCAAGCTGCTTTCATATGCCCTTCCTGGCTTCCACATACAGTTTGCAACTTTCTCAACTTTTCTTTAAATCATTCCAGGCAACTTGATGCTTGCATGTAACAGAAACACATCAAGATACTGTCTTTTTTCTTATTTTTTCTTCAAGGAAAGCATACTAGCATCACTTAAAGCACACTGAAAATGGGAAAGCGCTGCACTGTTCTCCATCTTCGTTGGGACAAGAAATGATGGGTGCAAGCTGTGAGGCAAGGGAAATTTAAATTGGCCATTACAAAAACACTTTTAACTGTAATGCAGAGCTCAAGTAAATTGTCCAGGGTGGCTGTCTCACTGGAGATTCACAAGAACAGGTTAATAAACACCTCTCGGGAATGGTTGAACCTGCCTTGGAGCAGGGAGAGAAACCTGGTGCACCTGGAAGCCGCAGTGCCTGTGCTCTCTGGGGCTGCGCTGTGCGTTAGTAGTACAGTGCAGAGCTGCTGGATCTTCTCCAGGCGAAATACTATAGGGCCAGTCTTTCAAAGCGCTGACGCTTTTAAATGGGTCGCTTTTTTCTAAAAGCCTGTTTAACCTCTGAGTAGGTGGGTGATCCCGAGTCCCATACATAGCCACAGTGCCATGCCTTTGCTGCTCCTCTGTGTGCCCTTGTTTTCTTTTATACCAGTTCCAACGCTCTTTGGACAAAGAGGACTCTCACCAGCTCAGTAAATTCAGTCCCAAGCCGGCAGCTATTACTGGGGTGAAATACACGCCAAGTTGATTTGTCTGGGGCTGCAGTTTCAGCGGTGAAGGGGTTGTGTGTTCCCATGACATTCTGGGTACTGCCCGAGCAGTGCTGATTAACTTGCTTTAATGGTTCCTGTCCCATTGCTGGTTTATGTTTACAGTATCCATAAACAGAGAAGAGGAGTAATACCACAGTTTCTCGCTCAAATGTGGGAACTTCCGAGACTTCACAGAAGTATGTCTTTCTCTGTATTGAACTCCCGCCTTCAGCTTTTGGCTGTTTTTCTTTTTATCCTTTCATTGGATATTTTCATTATTTTCAGAAAAACATAACGTCTCAAGACAAAGAAATATGTGGCAATATTACCACACAGAAAATAGCGTTTCCTTGTGATCTTTCTGTGGACAGCTGTTTTACATCCCTTCTTTCATGCAACTTCAAAAGGAGGGTAGAAGTTGGTTTCCTACTTAGACAGCCTTTCAGCTACTTGAAAGCTGACCCACTTGGGATGCAATTATTTTACTAATACAAAGTTACACTTTTAAAAGCCTTTGTGGGGCTGGAGTTGTGTTGCTTTACAAGTTCGGTGTCCTGGACTTGGTATATTGGTGTGTAAAACCTTATATATGGACCCCCAACTGTCCAGCCCACCAGTCTGTAGCACTTAAATAGTATAAATAACTTATAGCATAGGCAGGATCGGGATTTTTTCACTCCAGTGTTATAAAAACTAGGCTTATTTTTGGTTCTGCTGTTTAACCAGCTCTCACAAATTGCTTTCTGTCCAGCCACCTCTGGGTATTTTTTGGCCGTATTCTTGACCCGGTGAGCGGGATGCCTGGGACTAGATCGTGCAGCCTGTTTGGACGGTGGCTGTGCAGGTGTAAGGGACGTTTTCTGCACTGCGTGTGACACAGAGGACTGTGATTAGGTCTGCAGCCATGCTCTTCATACCCGATCACCCTGCACCTCACAGTGCCTTAAAAACTAACCTAGGCAGGAAAACATAAGAAAATTTTCTGCTAATCTTTAAGGACACACTCATGCTTTTTACACGTGAGGAAATTCAGGAAAGGTTTTGATGTCAAAAAATTCTAAAAACACATATCACAGACGTGTTTCAGATATATTCCTTTCTGTTGTTGATGTCCTAGGGTTTCTTAAACGTTTGCCTGCCCTTGGGCAGCTCAAGCAGCGAGGTGCCATTCCTGGCTGCTGCGCGTTCGGAGAGTGCCGCGATGCTGGGCTCCAGCCCTCGCTGCGATTCCTCACCAGCAGTTCTGCTTAAGAAAAAGCATTGAGCATTTGGGACTTGGGGAAATAGAATCTAACACTCATTTTAGTGAATTATTTTTATCAAACTTATTGTCCCTTTTTCCTCTTAATGCCTGATTTCTGATCTTAAATTTCTCATCTGCGGTGCCACAAGTGCCTGTTTGATGGCAGCAGCATTATTTTAAGTCCCTTCATTGGGTTTGTCAGAGACCAGCATCTGCTGAACAAGCACGGAGTGAATTAAGGACAGAGTAGGCAGGTTTAACTCCAGACATTTGCCATGGAAAACTTAGACTAGGCAGAGTTTTGGTTTTAATCTTGTTTTTTCTTTAAATAGATGTGTACAGTATCAGCCAGCACTGGCACCCCCCACCCCAGTATCGTTTGCTCTTTGTAAAAAGGCATTTAGAGGTGTAGTTGTGGCTGGCAAATTCTGAACTCGATACGGGAGGGTTTCTGAAAGCGCTGAAATGAAAATTCAAACCTTCAGTTGTTAATGTGTGCTTATCATGTCTGTGCAGCCTTCTAAAAATATCATCTAAGTACTCCAGGTGCAAAGCAACATCTTGGCACTGTGGGTGTGCATGCATATCTGGGTACTACTTTCATTTATCGAATCCCTTTGTCTTCTGCTAGAAAACGCCCATTTGGTCTCTGTCTGTCTCTGTGAGGGTTATTTTGCTAGTTCCCTGTCCAAACTTTTTTCTTTGCCTTTTTTTTTTTGTGAAAAATCCTGTGATTAAGAAAGACCTGAGGGAGGGGAAGTTTACTCACTCTTCCTTTCCTCCCAGATTTTCTTCTCTGCTGCCAGTGGCAACGTCAGTTGAGTGTCCCAAAAAAGCCAGATACGGAGTGAGACCGGGGGGCTGAGCTGATGAGCCCTGCAAGCAGCAAAGGCGAGGATACGGCTGTAAGCGTGGGGAGGGCAGGGCAGGGCTGCTCTGGAGAGGTCCTGCTGACATGGCAGGAAAACTTGATTTCATGACTGGTCACTAAAATCTCAGGCTCCCTCAGGTCTCAAAGCACAATGGCACACAGATAGTAAGAGAAGACAAGAGTGGTCATTGTCTGAATTGTCTTGGGTTTGTACCTACACTTAATCAGCTCGGCTATCCAGAGATGGATAAGCACTTAG